CCATTTCACCTAAACTTTTTAAGTACATGCTGCAACTCTTTGGTTCCTTCCTTTTTGCTCACAGGCCCTCCACGTCCACACTGTAGTGTAAGTTATGGTGTCTGGTTTGGTTTGACACTGTCATCCCCCAGGTTTAAATAGCCAATGTACAGCTGATGCAGTTTATCAGGAACTAATGCCTCAGTCTCGTGAAAGCAGCAGGTTTGCTCAGCAGTACTGGAGACAGAGTTGGTAACAGGAAAAGGCTGAAGAATGAAGTGTACACTTATCTGCAAAATGGTTTGCTCTGCTACCATCTTAGCCATGTCAGGCTGACAACACTGTGAAAGGTCCCCATGCAAATGTGATTGGTTGCCCTCAAGTAGTTCTGAGAGTCATCTAGGATTTTGACACTCAAGCCAGTAGTCTGGTGTGGAAAAATGAATCCTTCAGATATCTGGTAAGGTTCCAGCACTGTCTGCCAGCATCTGCCAGCTGAAGATTTGGTGCTCAGTACCCAAGAGACAGGAAAAGTTTTGAAAGCTGAAGATGGAAAATTCTTTTTTTCTCTTTCCTGCTCAGAGAGGAGTAGGTGTGAATATAAACTGGTGGGGACAGGATATTTTTAGTACCTCTTAGCAATTTCTATTAACTACTTGTCCTCCTGCATTTACTCTTACCACTTCATCCATATCTTTTTGTCGCTGGTAAAATGACACACACTAATGGAAGCATGCATATTGCTTTCAGTTTGCAGCCTGCTAAGAATCATAGGATCATAGAATGGTTAGGGTTGGAAAGGACTTTAAGATCATCTAGTTCCAAGCCCCCAAAGAAGTTGACACACGGTTTTGAGATAACCATCTACAGTCTCCAGAAAAAGACTGATCCCAGTCTGCAGACATTCTCTACTGAGTTTTAAGCTTTTGCTTACAAAAGTAAGAGAAGAAGAAGATATCAAAAAGGAAAAGATATCTATATGTTTGCATCTGTTCTGGTTTTGGCTCAGGTAGAGTTAATTGTACCCCAGCCAAAACCAGCACAGCATTAATGTTAATTGGCAAGTATAGAGTTGTGGGACTACTGACCTTGTTGTGTAGTCCTGTCACTCAAGGGATATTAATCAGTCCAATATATGTTAAGATTCTAGGGTAGAAAGTGCCACTTTCTCACTTCACTTGGTGCAGAACTGCACAACTACCCTGAGGACAGGCTAAAGACTGGGTCTACTGAAATTTTCTTCACAGGATGCCTTTGAAGTATCATGTTAAGCATCAGTTACATCAGAGATGTACACTATGCTGAAAATCTATTGCACTGCATATCTGAGGCATATTTGTGAAGTATCAGGCTCTCTAGCCAACCCAAACATTTTGTGACTATTGGCTTAAAGCATGCCCTTCTTCTGAGGCTATTCTTTGCAGCAGAGAAAACTGAAGATTACTATTTTGCCAAAGGATACCTCCTTTCCTAGCAGAAGGAACATAGGTCATAGAAAATCAATTGGAACATAATTCATCTGGTGTCATTCCTCTTTCAAATCAGCCCTCTGCTGTCTTAAGACAGTATGCTCTGCTTACACCTCTGCTGGATTCAACTTTTTGTCACGTGAAGTTAGGCCACAACTTTCTTTGTTCTGAGTCTAAATCTCCTCAAGAGTAGTGAGAGAGATTATCAAAACAATCATGTGCACCTGATTACTAGTACTTAAAGCAACTGATCTTCTGAGGTAGTAGTGCAGATAGACGGAAATCAAACAATGACAGCTGTATCTGCTAGCACCCAATCTGTTGTGCAGGTGTCACCTGCATCTAAGCCTTTCCCATGAGTATGCTGGTAGATAGGATTATCTTCCTGTTCACACTCTATTACACTCACACTGTCAAAATATTCTTCAAAAAAAAGTAATTCATTAGTGCCCCACTTTCTTCCAAAATGCTCAAAAAGGAGAATACCTATTGTATTATTTCAGGGAGGAAACCACAAAACTGATGGCAGAATCCTATTCTAACTGTAGTTTACATTAAATATAAACTGTTTGGGGTGTCGTAGCATTCTGAGAACTTCAATGGCATAAAACCATCTAGGCATCTGACTCTTATTTGTGCCTATTAGGTTTTTTCTATAAATGTCATCACTAGAAAGAAACTAAGGAAAAAACCTTCCTGTTCATATAGGCACTTATCAGCAATGCAATCAGTACAAGCTTGAAGAAACAAACTTCACTAGACTCCATCTCCATCCTATTTCTGTAATATCCAGCCTTACACACAGAAAGTACATTAACAGAACATTGCTGTGGTTGCAAACTCAAGTACACAAAGTTAGGAAATGATAACAAAATTCTTGTATGCAAACAGAATTTGACACCCCATTTTTTTTCCACATTATGATACAATTCCTAATTATATGATCACAGAGTGATTTCTACCAGACCCTTACTTCACTTGGTGTGCAAAAAGGTCAAGTGCAGACTTCACAGCACTTTTTAGGATACTCATCTCTCTTAAAAACATCTGATTTCTTCATCCAGATAATCCTGGTTTTCATCTTGTATCCCAACTCCCCATCAAATCTCTTTCGTTCTCCTTCTGGCTCCTATGGAAGAAATAAAGTCACCATTGTTAATTCCTGTATCCATCCCTATATGGGCTTGATCAGAGAGGGGTAACCACTTTAGAAGAACTAATTTTTGTTCCTGCAGTGTCAACATAAAAGAAAATAATAAAAAACAAAACAATTTGCTGTTGGGTATCAGCAGCTGCAAAGCCTGGTAACAAATCAAAGGAGAGTGAGCTTTCTTAGCTGCTGTGTTAGACTAGTCAAGGAAGATGTTTGAGCTCACCTTCTGGGTATAGATTCTTCAAGGGTGCAGCTCTTCCCTTTTATTGACTCTCTACTAAGCACATATGGATTTTTAATGTCTTACATAAGTAAAATACTTTTAAAAAAAATGTTCACACACTGATGGCATTGTTCTCTAGAAGAATTCTGAGAAAATTGCTTAATCCAACACTAGTTTTGAGGCTCCAAAAAGTTGCTGAGCATCTAGTAATACATGGCCCACCACATCTCAGACTTGTCACAGATTATCCTGCAGAAAGAAGTCTTACAACTAGTCCTTCCTTTCAATGAGCTAATTGATATAAATGGGGTAAGACTCCTATATTACAGCCTAGTAATTGCCATAGCAAAGCTAGCACTGTATTTGGCATAAAGCTCATTCTCAAGGAATGGTATCTTTTTTACCTTGATCTGGAAGAAGGTAAGGAAATACAGTACTAATCTTGGCTGCATCTATTTTGCACTTAGTTATCCTGAAGGTGAGAAAAAGTCTCAAAAAGCCATTGGCATCAAGTTTGGTACTGTTAAAATCTCAACGTATTCCCTCCCATTGGAACTGCTGTAATATCAAGCTAGCATAGGATCAATAAGGCAGCACACTTGGAAGTATTTTCAATATGGGCAAAGGCACCACGCCAGTGTAATTTCCAATTCCAGCACTGAGATCTTGTGTGTTGGTTGGAGAAGTGATGTTTAAAATTATTTTCCCTCTCTTCTTTTAACTGACTTAAACACATGCTGATTTCATTGGAAACTTTGCTTTGTATGGTCATTTCTTTCAGGTGCTGCAGGAACTATGAATTCCAGTCATCCATGGTAGTAAAAGCCTACTCCTTTCCTCAGACCACCATCTGAAACAAACTTCAGTTTTAGAGTAAGTAGCAATGCCAGCACAGGCTTCCCAGCTCAGAAATTCAGTTACACACACGGAACATAAAATATCTATTGCACTGGTTGGGCTTTTTTGTATCTGCTGCTGGATTCCTTCAATGTAACCTTCAGAGACTGAAGGACAGTCCTTGTTCTGGGTCTGACCTTGTCTGCTTGGCCTCTAGTATGTCTGACAGCTTTAGTTTCACCTAAGAATCAATGAAAAAAATCCTAATGTGTCAAGATAGAGTCTGAAGCACAGAATACTGAAGCGTTAAAGTACTCTGAAAAAGAGGTGTTTAATGTTGACAGGTTCACTGGCACTAATATTGGTCTTGCCTTGTTGCTCGACCTTAGCATCAACTTCCCTGTAACTGCTGTTGAGACTGAGGAGGATTATCCTTTTGTTACTGACATTTTTACTGCTGAGATGGGGTGACCTTTCCTATTCTTTTACAACGTAGCAAGTCCAGATCATAGCTCACAACTTCTCAAATGTCAGCAAGAACACAGAAACTTTCTTTAGCATTGACAGTCTTGGTCAGAGAGCTGGATGCGGCTCACAGTCACATCATAGCTCCGGCAAAGAAATATTTTAGTTTATTCACAGCACACTTGTGAGATACGCAATCACTTTGCGGCCACTGAATGAGTTCATTTTTTGTATGCTTGGCCATTCAGACTATGCTCCTTGTTTATAGTCAGATGCATGTACATATATTTCCATCGTGCTTTTGTCTGACAAGGACATGAAAGTGGACTTTCTTCTGTCAATTTTGTTAAACTGCCAGAAAAGATACATGTTGGGCAGTCTTACTGTTGTGATGGCTGTAAAGCAAATAAGCCTGAGGCATTAGACAGGATATGGGTTTTATTTTATCACTTCATTGAATAGTAGCAGCTATAATGCATTTCTGCTTTATAGAGAAATCCTCTAGAAAATATTTAAAAGAATAGCCCTCATTGGGAAAAAACATGGAAGTTCTAGGATCTGACTGATAATTATGGTCACTTATTTTGGTCAAAAAAATACAGTAAGTCTGGGGTAATTTCCTTCCCACAGTGCCTTTTTTAAATTCAGGCATTTTTTTATACAGTCTAAAAGCCTGACCATTGCTATACAATTTAAAGTTATTTTAACAAGTCTTGCTATCATGCATTAGTTTGTAACAGGATCTATGTTTTTATCATTCATCTATCTGGTTTAATTTTGTTTACATTTTACATTTACACTTACTCTTCAGCCCTGTACAGACTTTTTCTCTTTTTTTTTTTTTTTTTTTTTTTTTTTTGTCAGGCTTACATGAGCTTTAAAATAAAATCAGCATAAATGTGACAAATGCCAGACGTGTTACTACTGATACTCTGGCTGCATAAGGAAGCAATCCAAGAATTCATATGGCACCCTCCAAACATGCCTAACCCACCTAGCTGGGGACATAGGAGCTAACAGATGATGCTGGCCACAAAGATCATTGCTCAGACGGCATGAAACTTGATGGACAACTTAACATTGTTTCCTTAATCATTATTAGACTTACTGTTGTTGGTTGTCTGAAGAGGCTATTTCAGTGTGGGAATAACTCATTTGTCACATGTATTCTCTGAGTTCATATAACCGGCAGTTATTCCTCCTTTCTGGCAGAAACACTCTGGCAGTGATTGAATGAGCCTTCTTGCTCTCTTAAAGAAGACACAATTCTTGAGCTACTGTAACGACAGTTTTCCTTCCAATTAGCATCCTGGCTCTGGGGAGGCCTGTATTGGTAACACTTTCAGAAGTTAATGAAGCTATTCTGAAAACAATTCAACCTTCCATGCATAAGACAGGTACTTCTAATGGAAACGATAGGTCTTTTTTTTAACAGGTAGAGTATCCTCTTTTTTTACCAGAGCAGTGAAAAGTGTCTTTAGATGAATTAAATTTGAAATGTGTTAAGATAAGAGCAGAGGAGTGATACATCCTGTGCTTTAATACTTCTAGAAAGGATAGCAGGTATTAATTATACAGATCTACAATTCATCTAAGGCTTTTCATGGTCTTATTTAGCATTCATACCACAGGGCAATAAACAGAGAAGTGCAACAAAAGAAAGAGTAACAAGAGAGAGACAATATATCCACTATTTGATTGGGAGTGAGGTAAAGCAGTCAAATAGAAACAATTACTAAAAAAGAACTTCATAAATGTGTGTGTGTATGTATATACGTGTATATGTATTTTTTTCCAAGAACACAGACTGGGACATAAAGGATCGTTTAGACTGAATACCAGTGAAACCAGTGCAGTTTCTCCACTGAGCTTAACATACCTTGATCTAGTCTTTAGAGTACCTGGGTCAGTTTCATCTTCATAGACAGTGAAGTTTTAGATTATTTTAAAGGCTGTACAATGCTGCTTTTCTTTTCCAGAAGATTCTGTAAAGGGACTGATACTTGTTGATACAGAAGAGTTATGCTACTTTAGTTTACCCAGAATTTGACTGCAAACAGCATAGGTGTGAAGATTCCTTTGTAAAAGAAAAAAACCAAACCAAATAAATAAAAGAACAAAAACACAGGAGAAATTTCAGACACAGCACTTGTTACTTTTTGTTTGTTTGTTTGGTTGGTTTTTAGCATGCAGTTATGTATGACTAAGAGATCTGGAAACATTGGCATTGACTTTATGGAGTAAATCATAAAGTCTTTTCTGAGTTATACAAGTCATATTAACAAAAGAATTATCAACTTTTTCTATAAGTACAGGATTGACTTGATCACAGTAGGTCCAAACTCAAAGAACTATCAACCTGAAATGAGATTAACTTCATGAAAATCCACAGGAAGTTCTGTCAGAGACATAAAGTAAACGAACAGGCAAATACCCCTTTCCTTCACGTTTTCTTCGATATAGGGTATAATATTATTTAAGACTCTATTATGTATGTTTACCTTTTTGTGTGGAGAAGTACAACTGAATCCTAAGAGAAATCCATATGAAAATCAAAATAAGTTAACACAGAACGTTTATTGTTTGAAATCTATTTTGGCATAAAAAAAGAAATAATTTCTGGTTTAATAATGACTTCTTAATTTTTTTCGTTTCATGATATTTTGTAGTCTTTTAAAGGCACTCAGTTTACCAGTCTTTATTTTTTACCAGTTCCTACAACCCCAGAGAATCTGGATCTTGTTCTGACTTTCTTAGGTTTTGTTGACTTCTCTTTTTTCTGTTAGACACACAGAAAAATCTCCATTAAATTTTAATTTACTGCACATTGTGGAAAGCATATGTAACAGAGTTTCCACTTTATTTTCCCTGGGTAGATTAAATTTCACTTATTTCTAGTCATACTACAAAAGATGCTAGGCAGCCTGGTAGTCCTGTATTTACTGCAGTGGCAGATGATAACAAGAATCTGAAGATTCAGACTTTTGGTCTTGCTCTTCATGCTCTGTTACTATTTACAGTTGTGCTATTTAGCATCCAGAAGGTAAGAGTGGCAATTTGTAAACAAAGAGTCATAACCTTCTGTGTTAAGTGGATCATTTAACATCATCCATCCAGCTAGCTAAATCAGATTTGAGTTTCTGTTCCTCAACAGAACACCCTGAATGGCTGATTTTATGAAAAGTGGTTATCAGCTCCAAACAAAAGCAGGTCATGGAGAACTTAGCTTTGTCATAGAATCACAGACTGGTTTGGGTTGAAGGGACCTTAAAGATCTAGTTCCAAACCCCTGCCACAGACAGGGACACCTTCCACAGACCAGGTTGCTCAAAGCTGCATCCAGCCTGGCCTTGAACACTGCCAGCGATGGGGCAGCCACAGCTTCTCTGGGTAACCTGTGCCAGCACCTCATCACCCTCACAGGGAAGAATTTCTAGAACAGTCCAATCTAAATCTCCCCTCTTGACAGCTTAAAGCCATCCCCCCCCTTATCCTGTTTGTTGAATGTGACACAGCAGCATCAGCCCAGGTATGGAGGAATGGGGACAGAACAGCCTCCTGGTTTTCAGAAATGGTTTAGCTTCAATTGCAGCTGGCACATAATGCACTATTAGAGCAGTAAAGCACTTTCCAGTCACCTCTTGAACAAAGCACCGTCTTTTTCCTCAAAAGACCTCGTAGTGGTTGAATTCAGCTAGAACAACAAAGCAACTTGAAGAACGTAAAAAGGACTTCACTGGTGTTAAATGGGAAATGAACTTCATGCACTTCTATAAGTTTGAATACTTGTGCACCTTACACCTCTCTTTCACATAAAATTGTTATATTAGAAATAATCTTGTTCTTTTCATTAAAACCAGACAGCATGTGCTTGGGGTATTGTAAACAGACTTAATCCTATTTTACTTACTGTTGTTCTGGCGAAGGCATCACAACCCATTTGAAGTTGTTTACGTTTATGCCTTTATCTCTTGTTATTAGGAAAAAAGGAGACCAAATGGTTGTGTGATAATTTTACATCAGTGAAACTTGATCATATAACACTACCTCAAAATTGACCTGTTCCTATCATAAAGATCTGGTTTATGTAATTTTTTAATAATAGGACTGTTAAAGCTTTGACCTTTTCAAACTTACATAACTGCCACTTTTTTTAAAAGCTATATACTTTAGGTTTAGCTTATTTTTTTTTTTTTTTATTGTAAGTAGACCTCTCACTCTAGAACTTGAGTAGCTTCTAGAGAAACCTTCCTTCTGGCTGAATGAAATCTGAAGTGCAAATATTTGCATCTCCTTTCTTCTAGCTGTCCTTGGCATAAGGATCCTTCTGCACTGCTTGTTTTCTCTATGTCCAAAGCAATTGCCACTTCAAGATTTTCAAGGACAAAGACTGATGGAGCTATTCTATGATGAATATGAAAAGGTTACTTGCTTATAAACGCAGTTTCTGAAAAACTGTATCTTCACAGGTAGTCCCTCCTCCTGTCCTTGTTGGATTTTGTTAGCTAGTGGTAATTATTCTCAACTGGAGCTTCTGACAAATGCTGCTCTGGGTTTGGACAACTGTTGACCATTTTGTGAGTAGGTCACCACCTTGACAGATGCAGAGCAATTGTTTCAGTGTGAAGACATTTTGTTTCAGTGTGAAGTTCCATATTTGTTGGGAATGGCAGTACATTTGACAATCTTAATAATCCATGCTGCTTCTAAGAATTTTTGTGGGGGCTGAAAGTTGCGTTCTCCAGTAGCAGATAAGAACATACAGAAATTGTTCAGTATTTTGTAGGGTCAGACTCTGACAATTTGCTAGACAATTTTAAGACATCGCATGAGACTAAAATATGTGGAACTGCTGAGAATTCCAGTAACAGGCAGCAGACAATCTGGTTTTATTAATAATAAAGCTGTATACAAAATCTTGTTTCCTCCTCCTTACATCCCCAGCAATTCATTCATTGTGTCTGTCACCAAAGCAGTTACAATCTTTCAACAGCGCAAGAAAACATTATTACATGAAGGCTGATCCTTTAGCTTCACTTAGGAGAATGGACAGAATAAGTCACTACAGTACAGCTCACTTCTGACTTTGATTTGCTCATGAAAATAACTAGCACAATAGAAACCAATCTGCGTGTTACAACAGCTTCTCCAGAAAATCATTCATATCAGAATTAAGTGCTTTTTACAGATATGCAGAGGTTTTGTGCTATCGGGTTTTTTTTTTGTTGTTTGTTTGTTTTTCCTAAAATACTTTCCTACTTGTCATAATATATCAACATTTGCAGTTAGTAACACATGATATCACTGGCATGTTCAACTTCATGATTCACTTCAGTTCATCAGACACGACTCTTGACTAAAGCATCAGGAAGTGGGCACTGCTGGCAGCAGAATACTACACTTGATGGACCAATGCCTTTAATTAAGTCTGGCAAATACTATCTTGCCATGAGAACCTATTCCAGCATTCACAATATTTTGGTACCACATATTGCAAAACATAATTTCTGCCCATGTTAAAGAGACTTTTGAATAAGTTATAGGATTTAAGAAGTTGATGTAACAAGAGAATTAGCATCTATGGTATCTTTTATAGAATAACATTTTTCTCTTAAACTATCCCCCTATCCTTCTGGAAGAAGAAAACAATACTGATACAATCTGTATCCCTATTATTTCTACTTCTGATTATTTACATTGCTACTCAAAGCACATGTATACTTTCCTTCCTCTTCCATTCTAAGAACGCATCAATGCCTTTCAGAATAGGACTGTATACACATTTGCTCCCCTCCTCTCATTTCTGTTCTCCTTGCAGTCCTCCCCAAATCTCAGGCACTCTTTTGCATCCACACACATACAGAGTTTATCACACGGTCCTCTTAGCATGATAACGGATTGCAATGACCCACTTTACACCGCTAAGGAAGTTGAAGAAAAATTATGCATAAGACAAAAAGAGCGTTGTCCTATGCCCACGGAAAACAAACAAGCAAGCAATCAAACAGAAGGTGCACTTATTACTTCACTCTCAGCAGTTACCAGCACACAGGGAAACAACACCGGGACACGCTCCGCCGCATTTAAGTGCAAAGCCGTGGTACTCAGTTCTGACGTGTCAACTATCAGTGCTATTAAGCCAGGTCTCCCACCGCCGAGCGCTCACGTTTGAAGGCTGGGCACCGCTTCGCCGGCGTGACGGGCACCCCGCCCCTCCGCTGCCTGAGGCGAGGGCCGGGCCAGGGCCGTCCCTCGCTCTCCCCGCACTCACCACACCGCGCTCCGCCGTCCGGCCGGGACGGTGCGCTCAGCTGCGGCGCTTGGGGTCACCGCTCGGCAGGCGGAGGCAGGCGGGCGCGGAGCCGGGTCTCCCCTCGCACTGCCCTCCCGCGGGACGCGCTCGCTGTCCTGGGCCCAGGTGTAGCGACCCGCGGCGCCCCGCTCCGCGGTCGGGCGGGCCGGCCGCGCTGGCGGCAGCCGCTGGTTGGGCTCTCGGCGCCTGTCGCTGGGCGGCGTGTCAGCGGGCTGGCTCCGCCTCGGCCCCGCGCCTCCGCCCGCCCAGGCACAGACATGACACAGGCACACAGTCACTGCAGCTGCCGCTGAGCCCGGGGTAGAGCGGCGGCGGGCAGCCCGCTCCGGCACCCGCGGAACGGCAGCGGCGGCCACCCTCGCCCCGGCTGGCCGGGCACAGCGCCGGCGGCGGGCAGCCTCGGCACCGAGACCCGCAGGGGGCAGCCTGGCACCGGGCGCCGGAGAGAGCCGGCGGGGGAAGGCTGGCAGCGGGGAAGGGGCGGGAGGCAAGGGAGGAAGGAAGGAAGGAAGGGGAAGGGGGCACCCTGGCACTCAGACTCGGAGGCGGCCGCCGGGCACTGGCACGGAGCGAGCCCGGGCGGAGCGCGGCACCCAGCGGCCGCTGAGGCTGGGCCGGCAGCAGTAACAACGACCGCGGCGGTGCCGGAGGGAGACTCTCCGTGCTCTGCTCCACGCTGCCGGTGACCTTCCCGGGGCTGCTCGCCGCCCGCCAGGCCGGGGCAGGGCCTCCTCTCCCCGCGGAGAGCGTGCATCAGGCCTCGGGGAGAGGCCGGGAGGCTGGGCCGGAATCCCCCGTCGCCCCCGAGTCCTTCTGGCCGCCGGCGGGGCCTGTGCGCCTCGCGGCTCGCCGCCTGGGAGCGGGTCGGGGGAGGCGAGCGGGACGGACGGACGGGTCCGGGCTGCGCCTCAGGACAGCCTGAAGAAGGGAGCGGGCAGAGAGCGAGAGAGCGGGGAGGAGAAAGCAGCCACTTCGGCGGCGCATCCCAGGAAGAGTGCGACCCTCCCCGCCACCCTCCCTCTCCCGCCGCCAGCAGCTCGTCCCACGGAGAGTGGAACCGCTGGTACCGCCCCGGCTGGGACCCGCCGGCTGACACCTCCGGAGCGCCGGGCGGCGGGGACGGAGCTGGAGCTGCTCGCCTGGAGCAAAGGAGGAGGAAGGACTGCTTGCCTGTGCGGAGAAGTGGGCGCTGAGCGCCCGTCCCGGCGGCCCGGGAGCCACACGGGGAAGGTAAATGCCTCGCCGGGTCGCTGGTGCTTTTAGAGGCGAGGGGCGGGGGAGGGCGAAGAACAATCGGTGAGTGTCTGCCTTCCAGCAGCCCGGGGGAGGGGGCATCCGAGTCCGGTAGAGCTGAGAGGGTGACGGTTTTATCTCCTCGATTTTAATCCGCATCAGATCTGGAGTTGAAGAGATGATCCGGCGGAGGCACGCTTGTCGCTCCCCGGGCACAACGGGGCACACCCCCTGTTCCTCAGCTGAGGGAGGTTTCCCTGCCTGGCTCGCACTGCGTTCCACTCGTGAGTCTGACCGGGCGCTGGTTTACACCGCACCCGTGCCTCTTCCCTCCAGCTGGGTGCGTTCCTGTGCCGCGGGGCTCTGGCCGCGGGGCTGGCGGGAGGGACGGAGCCTCCGTCCCGCAGAGGAGCCCGGGGCTGCCGGGGCCGGTGGCTGCTGCCTTGGGGGGTGGCCGGGTGTCACGCCGTGGGGCGTGAGCGCCTCGCCCCGCGGCGTGTCCGCTCTGGGAGGCAGCTGTCTGAACGGGACCTGCCCGCTGGCCCGGGGAGAAGCCGGAGTTTCGCTGAGACAGTGAAACGGGGAGGGTGGTTTCCCCGTCCCCCTCTAGCCTCCCCAGCAAGCTTTCAGCCCAGGAGGCTCTCCTTTGGGAAGGCTTCTGCTATCGCCTCCTATCCGAGATGGTGTCATTTAGATTATTAATCCCTGCTCAAGGGGGGGGAAGGAAGGGAAAATAGCAACTTGCGGCCTCTGTGGAGGTGATGTGAAGTTTGACAGTGCCTTATGTAACACTTTGGAGAGATTCTTAGCTCTTCTGCTGTGCCCAGTTTTGTTTTTAGAAAGCAAGTGATTTCTCGTCTTTGTAGAGCATCAGACAAGCGATCTTTATTTGTGTTTTCACCTAAGTAAAGTGTCTTCTGCTTTGTTCAACTTGGAACAGAGGTACTGTTAGACAGCAAATAAAGCCTGCTTCTTCTCTGACATGCATTTTTTTAACTGAAAAATTAGCCCGTGGAGGCATCTGAACAGTTGTCATAAGGTCTTTACCTTTTTGTGGATGTATTGTAGTTGCTTTTTATAGCGCTCTTAAAATTACTACAGGAAACATTTTCACAGCACTGATTGTCATTTATGTGTTCTGGAAGATATGATGCCAGGATGGAAATGACAGTAAATCAACTGTCTTTTAAACATTGTTAGCTTTTTTAATAGTATTTAAGTGCTGTAATGAACAGAAGCCACCGGGCTAAACAAAGTACTATGTTAAAATCAGACCTGGCAATTGCCAATAGGTCAGCACATCTCATTTATTGAAATCTTCTGGATACAGATTAATTTTCTTTGTACAACTTTTATTTTTTTTTTAACTTCCTCAGAAACAGTAGGAAATTAGATAAATGGGTTGAAAGGTTGCCTAGTTTCCCTGCAGTTTCTCTAAGTGGTTATGTCTTCTACTGAAAAAAGAAAAGAAGCTAGCTTCACACAAAAAGACAGGGTAGTGATTCATGACATATTCTTTAGACTCCTACTGCAAAGGTACGCTAGGGGGACTAGTTTGGGTTGTGGTTTTTTTTTTCCCCATTCAATGGTGAAAATGCACAGGCTATTGTAATAAGACCTGTAAAATGAAGGGGTTTTGTGTCACCTTATAGGGCTCCATGATTATAATTGTAAGCTTAGAGGAAAAATCACATGTGTAAACTTAGATGATGAGTTCAGGGAAGAGGGATCTTCTAAGAAAGTCGTTCTGCTCCCTGCTGAATAGAGAGATAGGTTATTAAAGGTTAGTTTACTTACAAGAACAGAACAAGTTAATGAACAAACCACTCCGAACATTCTCACTGTGTTGGAGTTTTTTGTTTGTTTTAAATGGAGAAATGACCAAGGTGGAGCACATATCCCTAGGCTTCTTGAAAACTGCAAAGTGCTGATAAGTATTCCAAGTTTTAAATATGAAACTCTTATTGCTTAGGTGTCTTGTGACGACCCTTGATCAACAAGGCTGCAAGTCATGTAGAAGCCGCAGTAACTGCAGAGTCTCTGATGGATAATTGGATTGGTAGGTTGGTTTTGCTTAATTTCCCCCCCCTCCCCCCTTTTAATTGCCTGCTGTGGTAGCAGGTTCCTTTTCTCCATCCTGTTGATATTTAATTCTCATCATTTTTTATTTATGTTGTCTGTTGCATCTTTCCTGTTCAAAGCATATACCCCTGTCTCAGTTGCTAGTAAGGAAAAATAGCTTGGAGGTATTTGGATGGCAGTATGTAGCAAGATATATTTATTTATCTGAAATATACATGACAACGTTTTTTCTTCTCTGTTTAGATGACATAAAAAGATTGTAAGTTTTCTCAAGTCTGGAGAAATAAGTACTGTTTTTTCTTTGGCGAAGCACTGACAATAGTATTACTGATATGTTGAATTCCCAGGGCCAGCTATTCAATCTACAGGAATTCCAAAGTACGGTACTCGGAAAGCCAAAGTGCAGCGGAGTGGTGGATGACTGCCTGTCCTTTGGCAAATTCAGAGCTGTCAGAGGCTTGATCTGAAATTTCAGTGTGTAGGACTTAATATTAGCAAAAGTAGTATTCCTGCTGAATGAGTTATTTTAGAAAACTGGTAAAACTAGGCATCTCCCATGTGCACTTAAATCACTGAAGTGTTCTTAAATATAACGATTTTGAAGGAACAATCCTCCAAACTATTACTTGTGTGACTGTTTATTGCTCTAATGTGTATTTTTTGTTTTTACTTGGAAGAAGCTATCAGCTGTCAGTAGTCCCTTACTGGAATACTCTCCTCTTTCATCCTCTGATTTCTTTTTTTGAATGTGTGCCTTTATAAGAGCAATTTTAAAAAACCAAATGCGCATATACACAAAACCAACAAAACCCAAGTCATTTTTCCTGAGGCTAATATTGAGTAAAATTCATAACCTGACCAGAAAGGCTTTGCACTGTATGTTAAACTTGATCTACATGCAAACTCCTATCAGTGTTCATGGGAGTGCTTGTCTAAATCGAGAACAGCTTTGGTTTAAGACATTTCATCACCTGCATTAGAATAATTAAAAATACTATGCGTTTTAAGGGTGTGAGATTTCTGGTGTATCTGTTTTTCTTGTAACTTATATGTGCTGATGACATTAAGATAAAGACTTACGTGATAATAGGGCATAATGACCAATGCAAGTTTACAGTTGGTTAATCTTCATGAGTTTGTCTTCATTCCCTCCAGAGCTAGGTATATTGGTTAATTGCCTAATTCTGTGGCTAAAGAACTTTCTGAAAAGAAGCTTTGTGTAAGGAAACATACACAGAAGCACATGCACTATTTTTGCTCAGTTACTTGTCTGGGTTTGAATCATCTTTGTAGTAAATATTAGCTTTAAGAGACAATTATTGTTTATTACCCCACACTTGGCATAATTTAAGAGCTGGAGAGTGAGAACTACCATCAGGGAAGGTATTTTTCCTTTTTTTGCCTTTTTCAGTGGATTCCTAGTTCTCCCCTTCCTTGTGGTATGCACACCTGAAGATAAATGTTAAGAAATGAGCTTTGTACCTTGTAGTGATTCATGACTCTCTGGTGTCATTTTGCTAAGTATTTAAGGTCTGTCCTGTGTCTTGTCAAAGCTTGTTCAATGCATGGCTGTAGAAGGGGAGTAGCAGATAAGAAATTCTATTTCAAATGGAAGTTGGTGGCTCAAAAATCGAGGAGAAAATTGCTAGAAAGGATTATCCTGGCCTTGGCACTGACTTTCAAGCAAAACTACCAAGCCTGGAAGCCTTGCTTAAGAGCCACGTGTGTCAGAATTAGAAGCAAAGTGTGTAGAATAGTTCCATTAACTGTTTCAATTTGCAGATCAGAGCAGGTCTGATCTTACAATGCTTGCAGTGGTATCCACATCACTGTTCTTTCTCAGATACAGCTACTATTTCCCCAATAATGGAGTTAACTGGATAGAAGCTGCACTTGACATTGACAAGAAGAACCCCAGAAATGTCTAGCCAATGTATAACAAAAAGCTAGATCTAATCACATAAGCCTGATGATGGAGGAAGCTGGAAATCTCAGACAGTGCAGGC